GGCTGACAGATGTGTTATATGGCTGTCAAAAGTAGGTGAAAAGACGATGACATCGTCTAAGTAACATAAGCAGATGGACCACTTATATCCTCGGAGAAGGGAGTCCATCATGCGCTCGAAAGTTGCCGGCGCATTACACAGTCCAAACGGCATGACTGAACTGTTAGAGGCCATCGGGCATAACGAAAGTGGTTTTTTCACGATCCATTGGGGTCGATGGAAATTTGCCAATAGCCGCACCGAGGGTCGATAGACGAAAAGTATTGGGCACCATGGAGGCAATCGAGGGCGTCATCAATCCGAGGCAAAGGGTAGACATCTTTGTGGGTCACTTTGTTTAAATCGCGATAGTCCAGGCAAAAGCGCCAGCTGCCATCTTTCTTCTCAACGAGCACGACTGGGGAGGCCCAGGGGCTGGATGAGGGTTCTATTACGTCTTTAGTAATCATTTTATCCACTTCATTTTGAATTACTTGGCGTTCCTTGTGAGATACGCGATATGGACGCCGCCGTATAGGACTGGCATCACTAGTGTTGATCCGGTGAGTCACTGCAGTTGTTTGGCTGAGAGGGCGGTGGTCAAAGTCGAAAACGTCTCTATATGATGTTAGCAGACTACGGAGGCTGGCAGCTTGCACTGCAGTGAGGTCGGGAGCAATCATCTTGTTAATGTCATCTGCAGGCAGAGTGTAATTGCGGCCAAGACAGGGGGATGTAGTATCGGTGTCCAAACCAGTAACGTCGTTGCAGCTGTCAAGTGGAGATAGGGTGGCCAAAGACATGTCTTGCGGAATAACTTGAGTCAAGAGACTCACGTTGAATAGTGGTATAACCACTGTATTATTAGCGATGGCGACAACAGTGTGAGCAAGGGCGACGTCTCGGGCCATCAGTACGTCGACTATAGGAGTGACGAGGTAGTCACCGTCGGGCACATGACGTGAGCACGACAAAGTGACATATGTAGCAGCTTGCGGAGGCAAGCGAATGTGGTGACGAGAGCATAAACGGGGAGAATAGTCTGCTGGGAAATCGGCAAACTGCGGCAGTTCAAGCTGAAGAGCACCAGTGGCACAATCAATGAGCGCAGAATGCCGTGACAGGAAGTCCAAACCAAGTATTAGGTTATGAGGACACATTTCAATGACGGCAAACTGAACTAATGTAGGATGACCGGCAATAGACACACGGGCCGTGCACATCCCTTGAACATCAGGGGTCCTCCCATCAGCGACACGAAGTTTGTGGGAAACGGCAGGCGTGAGCACTTTATGTAGGCGTCGGCGAAGGTTCGCACTCATTACAGAAATGTGTGCTCCAGTATCTATAAGGACAGAAATAGGCACACCGTCAACAACAACGTCTAACAAATTTTGTCTCGTCGGAAGTGTCAAGAGAGGATTTGTGTAGGGAGTCGAAAATGCAGCGTCACCTCTGGGCGCTGCACCGTTTAGTTTTCCGGGTAGGCAGGAGCGGGGTTGAATGGGGACGACGGCCTGCGAGTCTGCGGTGAGCGAGACGACTGGCGACGTCCTGGAGGCGAACGCGACTGATGACCATGCGGTGACAGAGATCGGCTGTTGAACCTTCTGTAGTTGTTTTGCGGAGAAGGCTGCGTGGTAGACGCAAAGTGGGTGCTGTCCTGTCGGTAGTGAGCTTGAGATGAAGTCCGAGGTGGCGAGGACCAGCGGTAATTGCAGTAACGGACGGCATGACCGATACGGTGGCAATGAAAACAAATTGGTCGATTGTCGACGGTTCTCCACGCAGCAGGGTCGCGAGATCGGGCCGTAAACTGCTGCTCGTGATAGGACGAGGGTGGACGCCATGAAGCTCGCTGTGGGCTGGGCAAAGCGCACACCGAGGAAATACCTATGCTGGTGAGTTCTTGGCGGACGATGGCTTAAACCATGTTAACAGTGAGTGGGGTGGTGTCACTTGCAGCGGTGTGAGCCGGAGCAGAGGCAATGGCTTCAAGTTCGCACCGTACAATTCGAGTCACCTGATCCGATGAATCTAGAGGTGGTGGCTGTGTTCTTGCACGGTCTTCGCAAGACGATGTTGCAGCCGTATTCGGAAGGCGGGTAAACACGCTGTTAATCCGCCGGCTCTTCGCTTGCTCAAAGCGCCGACATTCTTTTATAATGGCGTCCACTGTAGAAAAATTTTTGCAGATGAGGAGGTTGAATGCCTCATTCGCAATCCCCTTAAGAATATGCCCGACCTTGTCAGCCTCCGGCATCTCGGCATTAGCTTTGCGACACAACGACAACACATCTTCTATATAGGAGACGTAAGACTCGGTCGAGGTCTGCGCCTGAGATGCGAGCATTTTGTTCGCAGCCATTTTTCTTCCAATCGGCTTTACGAACAGGTCCAGCATTTTCTCCCTGCACACTGCCCAACTCCCAAGTTCTGTTTCATGGTTCTCATACCACGATTTGGCGGTTCCCCTAAGATAGAATAACAGGTTTGCCAGCATAAGAGTCGGGCCCCATCGGTGTCGAATACTCACACGTTCGTACTCTGCCAGCCAATCTTCAACGTCAACTTCATCTGGATCGCCGGAACCGCTGAACGTGCCAGGATCCCACGGGGGGTTCAAGCACGAAGGTTGTGGTCGCAGAAGGAGATGTAGTTACCGCATCATCTCCGGCCGCAGGAACACCAGGAGCAGATGCAGACGCCGTACTCTCCGTCATCGTTGTGGAATGACCCTTCAAACGTCGGCCGCTGCGAAGTTCCGTTACGAGGCGGTTACCCAGCACCTCCACCAAATGTGACGGGGCGAGGTCTTGGCTTACAGGACAGCGTCCACTGAGAATCGGCAGCCGAACAAGATGTCTGAGTTGCCTCTCGCGCAAGCGCCTCAAGGCGTCTTCTTCATCTTCGCTAAGTGCCACGCTTGCTTCTGTCGATGATGCACCGTAACAATATTATCCACGCCCTGAGTAATCGTTGAGCATAACAACATGTCATGCGGACTAGGTATGGCAGATGTTAAAATTTAACTAATTTTGCTGCTTTTAACTAGCCCACTACTACTATTTAAATCCTGCTACTATTCGTTTGTGTCAAAATGACATCTGTTCTCATCATTCACTTCAACTTCAAAACAAAAACGTAGTAATGACACAATCCTGCTGTGTATGCCTAATTACTTCAAAAATGTTATAATTGAAACTACAGTGAAATTGTATTCTGATTGAATTGCCAATTACAGGTAGTCAGACTAGATTTCACCTGCATTATTTGCACTCACGTTGTCTTTTGGCTTGTTTCCAGCTCTCTTGTTTCCAGAGAAAGTGGTCTTTTATACAGTTTCCAGTACAACTATATTACTTTGGCATAAGTAGAGACCACGGTCGTCGGCAGTATTTTCTCTTAGAGGTGCAAATCAGTGTTTTGAAGTGCTGCTGAACGAGGGGGAAAGCATTCATGTAGCCTGAGACGTGATGGCAAGTGCTGGTGAGGCTTGAGGGGGGCAAGTGCCCTTTTTGCACCTCCCTGCTGATGCCGGACCATACGTAGAGATTTGCTTTAAAATTAGCATTGTTACATTTAGTGTGGACGAATGCCAGCAGGCACTGCTGTGTTGTATAATGTGTCAGTTAAAATGCTCCAGGGCTAGCTGGGAGCAAAGGTTTGGTACTACCACTGTGTGTAAGGCATTCGGGAACTGACAAACACCTTCATCTTTTGTTGTCGCCTTGTCTTGCAGATACGGATGATGATAGCGATGACTCTGCAGGAGTGGCATACAAAGTGCCTTCACTTGTAAAAGCAGGCGCTGACTGGCCCACTTGGCTGGTCGGTTCGTTTGGCTGGTTCTTGGTGGCAGGACTCATCGTGGGCTCTGTGTGCACTCTTATGTATTGCACTGAAATGTGAGTTTTCTGTGAGCTCACTGCAGGCTAATGCATTGCCAGAATAAACTTCTGATTGTTTTGTATTCAGATACACCCTGAATCATATGATGTTGTAATGGAGTAATGAACTGCTACTGTGAAAGAATAGATAAATGCTCTTTCAAGTCAACTCTTTTGTGAACTTTTGAATTAATCCTTTTGTAACTCCAATTGTTTGGTATGCATAGGTTTTAATCGAGTGCACTCATTATCCTTCTCTTTATTTTGTTTTATATCTGCTAAGTCAAATTTTATGTATACTTAGTGGTATACTCATTGGCTAAATAAATCAATCAAACCTGGTTAATCGCTATAGTGGGTATTGATAAGTGGCTAATTGGATGTTTACATGCCTCTTGAAAATGTAAATAGTAAATAGTATCTAAAAACAGATCATAGCACTGTTATTTGAATAGTGCATGTTGTGTTTTCTAAATCATTTGTGGGGTTTAACGTCCCAAAACCACCATATGATTATGAGAGACGCCGTAGTGGAGGGCTCCGGAAATTTTGACCACCTGGGGTTCTTTAACGTGCACTCAAATCTGAGCACACGGGCCTACAACATTTCCGCCTCCATCGGAAATGTAGCCACCGCAGCCGGGAATCGAACCCGCGGCCTGCGGGTCAGCAGCCGAGTACCTTAGCCACTAGACCACCACGGCGGGGCTTGTGTTTTCTAAAGGTGTTTTTCTTACACTGAGTGAAGGTTTTCGACATCAAAAACATGAAGGAACACTTGTAGGCCTCGAAGAACCCTAAGTTACTACTGGAGAACTTTCTCCAAAACTAGCTACCAGGAGCTGTATGTGTATGGACATCCTGATATGGGAGGCGGTGGTCATGTAGGAGTGGCATTTATCATGACATTTTGACAATGGCTTGGAAGTTCAATCAGTTTTTGGGATATTAATCTCCTGGAGTTTTCAGCACACAACCTACCTTGTTTCTTATTGGAGCTTTTCTCTGACTGTGTGCAATAAAATTTTTTTTACTTTCAGGTTCCTGGCTGGGGCAAATGTTTTGTGTTTCAAAATGACGGCAGCGGCTGTATTGTGGTCAATCCTTGTTCTTTACCCATTACAAGTAAGTTTCATGTCACTATCTATATCTGGTTTCTTGTGCCCTTTATGAAGCAGATAGTCTGCACTAATTAGTCTTCTTTATGTTAACAAAAGCCCTTTTCAGTACACATGTGTATGGAGTCACTGTAGATACCAGTCGTATGCAAAGCCATTTTTTCAAAGAAGTCTTATGCGATTGGAGCCATGTTCAAAGATTGTACTTACACATAGTTCTATGGCAAATATATGAGAAAAGGGCATTGCATTTTTTTTTAGAAAGTGCATGCATACTTTGTGTTGAAGTAGTGTCACCTTATATTGCTAGAAAGTATTGTTTGTTATTTATTATTTTTATCCTGCCTTGAAAGAGTAATTTTGATTTGTCACTCAACTTATGTACTTATAAATGTAAAATTACAGGCTCCTTTATGCATTTGCCTTAGATGACTCTTTGGTGAAAGCTAACTTCTTTTCCTTCGCAGTTAATTTAGTAATACTTGTGATAGTATAGAAAGTTGGGCAAGTTGGTTTCAGGACATTATTGGAAACATTTTGGCGAGCACACAATAGACAAAAAATGAAAGGCCAGAAGACATATGGGTGCGAACTCACAACTCTTTTCGTTTTGAGCCATACTTGACTTTTATATTCTGCTGCACGTTGTAATACCACTTATGTAAAAAATCGCTGCCATGGTGTGTTTTTGTTTATTTTTCTTTAGTTTTTCTTGCTTGTTTCATTTTTATGCACACTCATCGTTGGGCTACCCTAGATATTGTGTACTTTCTTTAATCAAATAAGTTTTGACTTTGCACCCGTTTGGCTTCTCACTTTTCGTTTTTTTTTTTTAATCTATTTTGTGCGCAGTGAAATGTTTCCAATAGTATTATACTTCTCGTGTCCGACAGAATCCCGTCTGGTCGGGGACAAACATAGTGCAAAATAACAAAAACACTGTGAACAAGGCCCGTGTCGGGAGCCGAAACGTCTTTTTAAGTTTTGTGTATTTCACCTTGGTCGGCGTTTTTGTTATTTTGCAGTATTATACTTCCCCCACGACCACCACCCGTTGAAAGCTTTCTGCACCTGAAGTGGTACTGCACTACTACCTCCTTGATTGGCTCCACCTTTGAACTAGCAATGATGTCATGTGATAACAAATTTTGGTCAACTGTGATTTCATATGGTGATGTTATCATATGATGATGTTTTTTTTTAATTATTCAGGTTGGCACCGGCGGTACCTATTGGCATTTGATGACATGTCTAAGGCCTTCGCCTCAATAACAGACATCCTAATTCCACATAGGGGTTCATGTTGCCTTCCCATTGTAGCCCACAGACATAAAATAAGCACAATTACGCATGTAATGAAGTTCAGGGTTCAATGGAAGCCCATCTAGTCTTTTTTTGTGTGTGAACAAGGCCTTCATAGTGGGGCCAGAATGAAATTTCTGTTTTTATTTGAACAATTGGTCAGTGCTTACTGATTTCTGCAAATTATGTGCATAGAGATCACATCTGCAGTTTTGTTGTCTTTTGTGGTGCAAAAATCTGACCTCTATATAATGAGTACTGATATAAAAAATCTTTGTTTATGCTGAAGGAAATGGAGATTATCATTGCCATTAATACTGTCATATGAAGAAAAGAATTACAACAAATGTACAACAAAGCTATTTCCATGTGACATGTCACTTCATTATAATGAGTGAACAGCAGAGGGGTTATAACTTGAGGGCTCGTTTATTTTGTTAGACATAACATCATAAAATCAACAGACAATAAAGCGAGGGATGGTATGAAAGACCTTACTCAGCTTAGTCTAGAGGAGCTACTTAGGAAAATGCAAGTGTGGGCATTTATACGACACTTATTCATCAGATTGATCTTGATAAATATTATTGTGAAGCTCCATTGAACTACATGAGGACACACAATCCAACTATGAGATGAGATGCATCCAAGGAGAACTCACTGCAAGTTCATTGTTCACAGCCACCTTTCAATAGTCTGGCAGGTTGTGCAGTTTTTCAACTTATTGTGTTGTTAAGAGATATGCAATTGGTTCTAAAAGTGATCCTTAGATTGTCGAAACAGTTACAGCTAAGTAGCTGTAAAATTGAAAAAAAAAAAAGTACCATCTATTCATTCTTTTCACTGTACTATTTGGACGAGTATGTCTACTAAAAGTCCATGCAGTATTGGACTGCTTATCTTGTGTATGTGAGCTTTTATCAAAGAGTAGGATATCGGTGAGCTTGTGCTGCCAAATCGCGACTACTTAGAATTCGGCAGCAGGATATAATACTGCAACCATTTTCTAATTAGAACCGCAGCTATCTTAGACAGTTCGCTATAGCTGACAGGTTCTACACTCGTTGACAATGTATCTTGACATTGTAGCGAAAGTACGGGGCCAAGCTTCTGCACGCACGTGTTTTTCTACAATTAGTTCAGCAGGTTGTGGCTGATTTTAGTTTTGCTAAGTCGCATTGGTAATGCATTTAGAAAATTCTATACATGAAAATGTGAATGGAAGAAATGTTTAGATGGCTTAGTGTACATTTAGGTGTCATAATATGATTATATTTTTTTGGAGGGCTAGTCCTTTGTGGCAGAGCACAGAGCCACTTGTGCATGGATGTCATGTTTCGTTTGGTAAACGGGTATGATGAAAAGGTGGTACTGTCTGATTTTCATAAAATGGAAAGAAAAGGAAGGCATACTTACCAAGTGAACAGTAGCTGTACTTTACTTGTGACTTCTTGCAACTGTTTTAGTGTCGTAATAAATAAGGCAGCATTTATTTGAGCTAGGCAGACTCATGAAATCATTAGTAAACTTACGTATAATGTTTTGACATGATAGCAGGCAGGCGGTTTGATTCTGCAGTTTTCACTATGCTGTGAAGAAAAGTTGCCGCCAAGTATTGTTCTGTCATTTACTTGATTGACACCTCATGATATAATCTGCAATATACAATCATTGCATCTGTGCTTAGCCCCATCCCAACAAATATATGGTCTATTTCTGATAGTAACCATTTTTACCAGTAAGTAAGAGCGCCCAACATGTGTGGGTGTTAAAAAAACTCAGCTATATGTTTCATAGATGAAATAAAAAGTGCAAATGTATGACATTGGCCAATTAATAATTGTAGTACATTGTTTAAGGCTGAAGGCCACACATGGTATAGTTTATTCAGAGACAAAGACTACACTTTTTTTGAGGGTTTGGCCATATAATGCATAGCAGAAGAGCTTCTGAATGTTTGACAAGACTTGTAGTGTTTGTGTGCTGAGGTCTGGAGCCTGTGTCGAAAGTATGCGTGTCAAAGGTTCAAGAGAAGCACGACTGTGTGGTACTGCTCACTTTTCTGGGACTTAGAAAGCCAGATGAGCTGTGGTCAAAACTGCTGAGAACAGTTTGATCAAAGAGCTACTTGTTACTCGCACGGTAACTTTTAAATTTATTTGCAAAGAGTGTGCAGTAGGACGCACTATCATTCCTCTTGTTTATTTCATTTCTTCTTGTGTCACTGACTCGGTCTTTTTTTCTTGTTTCTTCGCAGGCTTGTGTGGTGACTGTATACATCAGTGCACATTGGCACATCTCTCAGAAGCCGCAGAGTGCTTTATTCATGCTTCCGTGCAGATGCAACGAGGTGCTTCAGCGCCTTCTTAGACATGTTCGCATCCCCGCTACAGTCCCACGACTCACCCATAAATACCGCAACTATTTAACTAAACGCCGATCGCACAGAGTGGGCAATTCTGCGCCTCGAGAAAGTAGATGTGGCCACGCGGAAGTTAATCATGGGCTAAACACGGGGTGGCTACAGCAGTTGGGTCCTGGTCGCCTTCTACACCATTTGGCAAGATATCCATCAGAAAGGAAGCTGGTTGCCATGAGAAAGCAATGCCTGGCGATGATGGCGGCCTTCAAGGCAACGAGGTACCGACCATTGCCTGCCATTGCTACTACAGTCACTGCCTTTGTGACCTGTTTGCCTACTTCTGCTACTGTTACTACTTCCACTACTACTACTACTACTACTACTATTAGTACTACTACAATAAACTTTCTTTTTATAAAAGCAGCATTTGACCCCAAGACATCAATCGCTATATTCATAATAAACTTGTCTGTCATGTACAGTGAGATGTGTTTAAGACTCACAGTTAAATCACACACACGGCCCTGACTGAGTTAAAATAAATTAAGTTAAAAAGATGTTTGCACTACTGCAAGGGAGTGTGAACATGTTCACAATGCCTGCAAATGCTAAGGGATGCTAATCAATGTACTTGCTATCAAACATATTTTAAAAGGAACACATTTTACCTCAGCAGGCACTGTGTATATTATTTGCTATGATTTTCGCCAATGCGACAGCATTCTTCCAGACCCTCGATTTATGTTAGAGGTTCACTTTTTTTGCATTTATTATGTAAAACAGTTCAACTATTAACCAGGCTACTAGAGCCACCTTCTACTTTCATGGCTAATGGCATTTGCAGCCTTTGCTTTGTATTATTTTGTTCTTCCCATAATTTGAATCACTGGTACTTGTCTGTATTAAAGAAACTGCATGAACCACATATCTAGCTATACTCTCTTGAATCCAATGTCTCTAAAAGCAATTAAAACATTTTGTGTTGAATATGGGATATCAGGAAAAAAAAAAGAAGAAAAGAAGTACTGTTAGTGATTCTGATCACATTCTTTGTTGATGCTGTGCTTCAGGTGAGAACTCTTGCTTATATTACACATATGTCCACATGTAAAATTATGCCAGGGCTAGGCTATTGTGCTCTTTGGCTACTGCAGCTTCAACTGAAATTTTCTTGAAATGAAAAAAAAAACAGCTAGGTAATTTTTTCAGTGTTCTATAAATTCATAACAGTATAATACAGAATGAATAACCTTTTTGCAGAACAACATAGATAAACATGTAATTTAAGTGTGCAGTGTAAAAGTAAGTTGGCTTTTTGCATGACTTGCATTCATTTTTCATTGCTATATCCTCATTAAAAGTGGTACTATGGTATTGCAGTGCTATTTGAACACAAAAACAGAAACTGGAACCACGAATTTTTCCATTGAGTCATTGGTACGAGATATTGGGACAATTTGCCGTAAAGGACGTCGGCTTGTATGCAGCAATAGACACATATGAATTCAACTAACCTGTGGGAGTCGAGTGGTTAGTACGTATTGCCAGCATTGGTTGGCATAAATACTGTATAGAAGTAATTAACCTGTGCCTTCATTACACTGTAATTTTGTCTGCAGTTGTTGAAAGGAAAGAACTGCATGCTGCTTAAAAGCACCTATGCTGTCCAGAAGTTTAAGTGAAAAACCCCTTCGATTAATCCCTAGCAGGTTTGATCTGCACAGCCTACAGCAGGTCTGTACCAAAAGCAATAGACGAACTGCTGTGGTGGTGAAGCACTGGGGATTGTGTCCATTTTGACACACCCTGGGCAAGCAGAGTATTTAATGTGAACTCATGCTAGTTAGTAATCATAAGATGCTGCTGGCAGTTTTGTCTCACTCGCCCTACAGTGAATTTATTATTATATTTATTATTATCAGATTTGTTATTTTTCCCTAAGCAAGAAGTTAGCTCCAGTTACGGAATTCCAGCTGTAAATTATATCCGGTTCACACCAATGTCCTTACTTTCCACTGTCTGCACATTCCACTCCTGAGTAAGAACAGTGCATTTATGGTAATGTCATTCATTGAGAATAGTTCTTTTTCGTTTGCATATGCAAATTGATGGACTTCAATTTTTGTGCCAATGCATTATGATTTCTATTATATTACTTGTATTGATTATATACTTGCACCAATTTTTAAAAGCACATTTTTTCACAGTACATTTTAGCATGTAGATTATTTTATAACTTCAGGTTGCCTGCCAGTTCCATGTAAGTGTTCCATCATAATTTTTCACTGATTCCCATTTTCTGATTTCTTGATTCTTTGTAATGACTACCCTTGGGTGTCATAAAAAGGTCAAATAAAGAAGATGAAGATCCCTGCATGTCTTGCAGCCAAATAGACATATCTTTGTACTTAAAACACAGCTTTGTAATAGGTGAAAAGCAGCAAGTATGCATTGTGGAAACATCTGCACATTTTCTGGCACTGCCTCATGAGCACATTAAGAAGGAGCGACAATACTGGGCCAGTATTTGAGGTGCAATTGTTCTGTATTACTGAAATAGAGGCTACCTTTTACTAGCACGTTTGAGTTATCCACGCTTAACTATGCAGTGAGCTGTTGGGTGACATGAAGCTTTAGAACAATGGGCTTGAGAAGTTGCTTTGGAAAAAGCAGCAGCCACATATACAAGAGAAAAGAATGTGCAGCCCTACCTGAAAACTTTACAGGGTGTGACCACGAAAGAACAGCTGTCTCATCCCAAACTTGGCAAATCTAGGTCTTAACAATACTCTCATAATCTCATAAAAAAGTGTTTGTTATATGTCATCTTCTGTCTTACCAAGAATGTACAAAAGTAAGGACTAATATTTTAATTCAATTGATTGCTTATCTTAGTTTACGAGATGCCCTGTTGGCTAAGTATTGTTGCATAAAATGCCTTTTATGGCACCCTACAAAGGGCCATGCCTTAGAAATCTACCGGACATGCTCATTGCAGCATAAAACAGTCAGAACAAATTTTAGTAACCTAGATCAGTAAGTGCCCACTTTCTTTTAAATGCCTTTATTGCCTTTATTGTGAACCATGTAGCTGAATTGAACTAGAACTTCTGAATACATAAAACTGGAACATAAAATATGATGCAGGTTGTTTTGAAATGTAGTGACTTCAAGCATTATTAATCAGGAATTTATGATGACAACACAAAGTTTGGATCAATCTTGGTAAATAATAAAGCTCATATGTCAAAGGCAAGATTGAGATAACTAATAGTTACAAAACTAAGGCAGTGTGCCTATCCCAGGTTATTCTTGTACCGGTTATATAAAGTCCTTATGTGACTCTGCCTGTGTAGTTTCCTTGAATAAAAAGGAATGCTTAGCACTTTTGAAACATCACATGTGAGTATATGGTTCCTCCTATTATCAGAACAGTATTGTTACACTTCAAAGCACGGCAACTTGCTGTAGAACTTTCCTAAAGAGAGAGAGATAGATAAATAGAGAGGAAAGGCAGGGATTTTTCCTTAAGAATACGCAATGCATGCAATCTTGCACAGTGGAACTCCTAAAGCCGACTTTCCCACAGTAAGGCACATTGCAAGGAGAAGCCCACATGAAAAAAAAAATGTCATTGATGATTACAGCATTGCTTAATATGAATTCTGACTGCAGCTGTTTAGGTCTTCTGAATTTGCTATAAGTTTAGAAAAATGCATCTGCTTTGATGGTGTGCACATCTAGATTCTGGCATCAGTGGCATTGACCCTCTGCTCAGGCAGCTCGTTTAGCAGCAGCAGCAGCAGATGCTTACACCAGTTTCATCACTCATTGTTTAGAAATAACTGGCTGAGACTATACTTTGTATATAGGTGCACTGTTTACATTAGGAAAAGAATGCCGTGAGTAGCATGACTGGTGCAGACAATGTCGTGGAGCCAATTTCACATCAATCACTACAGATGGAATGTAGCACGGTCGACTGATTGCTCACGGGGAGACTGCAGAAGCCAGCGTGTGGATGTGTTCTAGAACAGCCGACCAGCCGACCTAGATAGTCTTCATTCATGGAGCACTTTATTTCTATATGTGGTATCGGTTGGCACCTTACCACATACCATAGGGATGACATTACCGTAGCAAAAATCGCCTATAGAAAAATCAATAGCCTATCAGAATATTGAATATATTGGTCTATTGGTATCCTATGGGCCTATATGTGGCATTGTGGTCTATTGGACCCCTATTGGTTTGTTAGTGTATTGTTCCATTGGTGCTCTATACTATTGGCGTATTAGTCGTGTATATGTCTAATGTTACTCTATTTGTCTATTAGTCTATTGGAACTCTAGTGACCCATTTCTCAGCTGAGAACTAACTCGAGGTTTTGGAAATAAAGTAATGGGCATTTAAGGACTGCAACATAGCAGTGCCTCTATAAAATGAAAATATTCCATTTGAAGTGAGGCAGGTATTACATTTATAAATACTACAAGATCATTTAATAAAGTCAGCAATCTTCCCCACAATAAGCTTTCCAAGCGTGCTGTTCTTCCTTGTCGAATGTATGCATCTGCACCAGTTCTCCAGGTTGTGCCTGAAAGGAAAAAACAAATATGAAATACCAGGAAGTAGGAAGGAAATTTATTTAGAAGTGCTACTGAATAAAATGGAGCATTAGAATTCAAAAAGAAATGTGCAGATACATCATACTATAGAATCAGCATAAGAGAAATTCCAGTAGGCTGGCAGTAGGTAACAGCTTTCACATGGTAAGGACGGATATTTTGTCACATCTGTACAGTGGATTCGATTATGCTTGTGTCCCAGAAACAAAACCTCTGTCACTTACGTAACCAATTGTGAAAAGGGCGAAATGGCACTAGCACGAAACCTATCCCAAGGTCTCAGCTTTGGGAGTCACACAAAAAACTTCACTAAATTCAAGCCTTTCTACTGCAACCATGTACTGCTACAGGATGGGGTTCAGTATTAATGGTTGGACAGTAGCACAATTTTTCAATTGCAATAAACTCCTTGCTTCTCCCCCAAGTGTATTAGTATAATTGAACGAAGATGAATACGTATCTTGGTCTTCCAATGCACAAGTCGATAACATGCATCTATGCCTGCGTCTGTACATGCAAACAGCCCACACACTGTTCAAAAGTGTTGTACTGTAGAGGAGAAAAATACTAGAAAAATACAAAGTGGCTAAACATTTTCATAAGATCATGTTAAAGAACACCCAGGCCCTCCATTACGCCGTTTCTCATAG